TGGAACTGGGCAGCCCGGTAGTTCGCGAGAGCTGCATCGTCCTCTTTGAGTGGCGGAGGGACCGAGGAAGATGACGCGGTAGCTCCGTCGCGGTGGCTTGAAGGTCCGGGGACAGTTGACATAGGGATGGTGTTATGACCGGGGTTGCCGGCGTTGTCAAGGTGTCCGTTTTTGTCCGAGGGGCCGTTGTTGGTGTCGACGACGCGGACGTTTTGTTCATCGCGAGCTTGGTCAGCCATGACAGTGGTAGTTGAGTTGAGCTTTGGTCTTTGAGTTTTTGCAAGACGGGGAAGCTAGTTTCCCACAGACAGCGCCACTGATCTTACCGGATCAGACTTGAACCGTCACGACTGGCTCCGAGCTGAAGTTGAACGAGATGGGGGGGTACCTGCAAGGCACTCCGATGCTAAAGTAAGTGGGAGTACGAGCAGGCAAAAAGTATGAGTATGGGTAAGAGAATGAATACCTAACCCTCTGGGAACAGAGGGTATTTATAGCCCCCAGCGCTGGGCCAAGGTCCCTTCATTAGGCCGGGCAGGTTTGGCCCAATGAAGGAACTGTCAGGTTCTACGTGTGTAGTGGGGACCCGCACGTGGTCTCCTTCCTGGATGTTCTGCGAGAAGTACGGACGGACGAGGACGCGGTCTTTTCGGAATCCAGGTGATGGTGTAGTGGTCAAAGTCTGCCCTACGAGAGGCGCTCGAGCTGGACTGCATGAAGTCGAGGATGTCGTACTAGCAGAGAGTGTCGGGCACGACTGTGGCTTCTTGGTCGGCGCGACCCCCTGCAAGGCCGTTTGAATTGGGCCTTCATCCTTGCTTTTGGGCCAGCCCGACCCAGTCCAGAACACTAACGAAACAAATTTTAAGTGCAATATCAGTTTTATGTTTGGCTGAATAAACCATTTTGTTGTCTCGCTCCTATTATATAAGTTTAATACTACTTGTGTTGAGTTGTATTTTGGTTAAAGTATCCCTTCTACCCCACTTAATAATACATTTTCTTATAAATTATATATCATATTGGAGAATTTTGATTATAAAAATGTTATGTTTTTCATGAATATACATAAACTATTTTTTCCCTACAGTAAAATATATCATAAAACATTTTTTTAAGAATAATTTTTACATAAAATGATAAATGAATATTTATTATCAATATATTTTAATTTTTAAAATAAATTTAGTTGTTTCTTTAATCCAAATTTTATTTTAAAAAAAAAGTAAAAGGAAACAAAATTAATTTTTAAATGTGTTAACTATATTTTACATTTAGTAAAATGTTTTAACTATGATATTACTCTTAAATTTTTGAATGCCGTGGTTTTCACATGTTTATTTTCTGTGGTGTCAATTACACATGTACCCTTATCCTTGAGTATCACTCAAATTCTTCCAAGTTGTATATATATCTACATTCTCTTTCAATCAAACATATATACAATCCATTTTCTCTATCTTTTTTTCCCTTGTTTAATTTTCAATCATGGATCCTAAACCTGATAGATTTTGTGTCAATTAACGGTCATATAGAAAAGAGAGTGGAGTTGGACAAAAACATAAAAAGTGAAGACCCCAGATATAATATGGCTTTGTCCATGATGGCTTCTAAAGTGTCTTTCGAGAATGAAGCTTTCATACGGGAAACTGTTGAAAAACACTGGAAGGTATAGAGGTTTTGTGCCTTAAACTTTTGTATTATACTTTTCGTCTTTCTTTAACCGAGAGTGATTCTTTAAAAGATTATTTATCTATCGAAAATTGTTCTTTTAAATAAAATCACTTAATTTTTTAAAATAATATATCTATAAAGTAATCTTTTAAAAAAAAATCTATTTAAAATAAAACTAGAATTAAGTGATATTCTAAAATATAATACACTTATAACAGATTAATAAAATATTAAAAATAATATTTAAAAATTAAAATAAAATATACTTTATTTATTATAGGATCATAAATTTCTAAAATATAATTTTAAATCATTTATAAAAATATTAAATTTCTATATAGGTTAATTTTTAATTTTAAAATGAAATTAAGATTGAAGCATTTATAAGACTAACTAATTTGCTGTTAAATTTAAACAATTGAATCGTATAAAAATCTTAAAATTTAATAATTTTATGAGAATTTTTTAAAAAATATTTATAAAAAATTCAATTATTTTCATAAATTTAAAGAATAATTTTAACTTCTAATTATTTAAATAGTTATTATTAAAAAATTTAATATAATCAAAATCACTTTTTTTTAAATGATATATTTAAAAAATACATATTTTTAAAAATTTATTTAAAATAACATTAAATTTAATTGATATTTTAAAATATATAAAAATTACAAAATAACAAAATATTTAATTGCCAAAAAGTACTAAGGTAAACAATTGAATTACCAAAAAATACCAAGGAGGATAAACAATTGAATTACCAAAAAATACCAAAGTACTAAGATGGGTAACCAATTAAATTATCAAAAAGTATTAAGGTTGGGTCAAGTTGGCCGTTGAACTAAGGACACACCACTTTTACTTTGATGCCTGAAAACACCAAATGTTTTCGCTGAATCATTTGTCTGATTTGTATAGATGATGTATTATTTTATATTTAATATATTATTATTTAATTTACAAAGGTCATAAAATTTTGAGGCCCCATTCTTTTAGGCTATGGGTCTGCTTGCCCTGGCTCAAGGCCGACCTTGCTTCCACACACAAACCAACTTCCTCGACAGACACCTCCTGTTACTAAGAGATACTAAAGAGCCTAAGGAATCTAAGTATAAGGGAATATTTCCAGCCTCGAGAGTCACCCTTAAATGAGTTGAGAGAGTCAGTTTCCACTTTCTTCCTTAGGTTATCAACAAACCTTATTAGAAGCGTCACCTACTTTAAAAGACACACTTTTTCACCAAGTATAAGTACAATTAAAAAGTTGAAGACATACCTCCTCAGAAGGAGGAAACAATGTGAGCCTCATATGTAGCGGATAAAATATCCCACCAGAGATCACACAGGTTGAGATCAACCTTCACTACCACTTACCCGACAAGCTAAATTAACCAAGTGAAGGTCACGAACACCTAGACCACCTCTCTACTTAGGTTTACACATATGAGACAACTTGATCCAAGAAATCTTATACTCCCTCTTCACCCCCACCCCATACAAACCTTCTCTAGATCCTCACAATTCTCTTCAGAGCTTTAATCAACATTCTGAAAAAGATAAGAAAAATATATGGATAACATTTAAAACTGAATTTAGTAAAATCACCTTCCTCTCAAACAAACATACACATGTCTCTACAAGAGTAACCGCTTAAGAATAAGACTAATGAGGGACTCTGAAGGGGCTTCAAGTTTGGGATTCACCCTAAGTGGAAGATCAAAATACTTGAAGGAAAATGTCTCTTAGTTAGAGTGAAAAAATCACCAACTAAATTCATAAAAATAGAATCCACATTGACCAAATGAGACTACTCTTAGTAAAGTTAACTGAAGCACTGAGGCAAGCTCAAATATTTGAAGAATAACTTTAAAAATATAAAGATATTTAAATGAGGCATCAACCCAGATAAAAGTGTTCTCCGTATATTGAAGATGAGATATCACCAACGTAGAGGATCTTAGCCTAAATCCCAAAAAGGGATTCAACTCCACAACCCTATTAAATAAACCATTGGGACCTTTGACTACAAGCCAAGAAATAAACGGAGCTAAGATATCTCCTTATTTTAACACCTTTTGAATATTAATCTCTTGTATCGAGTTGTCTTTACAAAAACAATGAGATTCCCATAAAACACATAGTCACGCATCCAAAGTGTCACTTAGTATTAAACTCAAACTTAAAAACCCAATTAACATAATTGTACGCTTTCTTAAAATCCACCTTAAAAATTAGACAAATTTTATTGGTTTTCTTGATCAAATCAACCAACTCATTAACAACAATCACCCCATCAACCAACAATTTTCCTTTAAAGAATGTCAATTGATTAGAGGAAAAAAAACTTACCCAAAACCTAGTATAGCCATCTGAACATTAACGACAAGCTTGTATAGAGAGTCTATCATAGAAGTAGGTTGAAAATTACCTAGATGGGAAGGAGACTCGACTTTAGAGATAATGTAACAAAATAAAATAAAAAACTACGAGATAGATATGTAAAATGATGGAACTGATCAAACATAACACACAACTCATATTATAGATAAAAAAGACTTATACATGTAATACAAATGTTCGAATTTTATTAATATCTTTAATTACAAAAGTTAGATATCGCAATTAATGTATCTAAAATTATCATTTGAGTGAATATTATACTATTTACTTATTTGAAGTGTTTATAGTTTTAGAGATAATTTAGTTAAATACTTTAGTTTCACATTTTCATAATTTAATCTGAAAGTATATGGAATATTTTTTAGTTGTGCTAAATCAGCTATGCATCAGTTCATATGGAGAAATACTTGCATATGAATACATATATTTATATTCTTAGAAACAATTAATAAGAAGAGAGAAAATTTTTAAATTTATTTTAAATTTAATTTATTTTTTAATTAGAATCATAAGGTATATTGGTGATAATAAAGGAGAGAGAAATATTTATTTTTATTTTTTAATTAATAAAAAATTGTGATTGATTATTTATAAAATTATGTATTATCTTCATTTCTAGACAAATATCTTTTGATACATAGATATCTGGACGCTACCTACGACAGAACTAGTTATTTGGTAATATTTTTGAAATGATTTAATTAAACATACTACATTTAGAAGAAAAAAATCTTATATACTTTATATTTTGAACCTCCCTATTTTTTTCACCGCTGCCAAGAAGTTCTTGTTTTTTTTTTTCACACTCTAAAGTAGGATATTAAAATTGATATCCATGAAAATATAATTGTGTGCAAATTAATTTTTTTAACCTAAGGATATGGATTATGGACCAATAAGGCTTATCATTATTTGATTTTTTAAACATGATAGATTATGATGGGCAAGCTACAACTCAAGCCTTGATCCTCCTAGATAAAAGTGATAACCAAGACACATACATAGTAACTTTCAGAGGAACCGAATTATTTGACGCTGATCAATGGTCATGTGATTTGGATATCTCATGGTTGGAGTTTTCCGGTGTTGGAAAAACTCATGCTGGTTTCATGAAAGCATTAGGTTTACAGAAAAGCAACGTGGGATGGCCTAAAGAAATTGAAACAAATGATACTCATGCACCTGAAGCCTATTACTTCATTAGAGATTTCTTGAAGAAAAAGTTGAAAGAAAATGATAAAGCAAAGTTTATTGTGACTGGTCATAGTTTAGGTGGGGTTCTTGCTATTCTCTTTCCTGCAATATTGATATTGCATGAGGAGACATTTCTTTTGGAGAGAGTTGAAGGTGTTTATACATTTGGACAACTAAGAGTTGGAGATGGAGTATTTGCTAAGTACATGGATAAGAATTTAGTTATTATTATTTTGTTAGTTAAGATAACAAAAAATACGCGTGCATATGCATGGTAGCATGAAGTTAGTTATTATTTTCATGAAACAATATTAAGTTCAAAATATTTTGAAGTTTGTAACAAAATATGGATTCAATTTATTTGCATTGTTAGTATAATTTGTTTTTTACATTGTTAGTAAAGAAATATTCTTGAAATTATTAATTTTTTTACTTCTATCACAATTATTTATATAATTAAGCAATTTATTAATTGTGATGAGTGTTGTTAAAATCAAGTCTTAACTCGTAAAATTGTTCGATTTCACATGTTGAGGTATGAATTTCAAGTTAAATTGCTTGTAATATTGAAGATGAACCAAGTTATGTTACCACATATTTAATTCTAAAATAAATAAAACTATGTTGGACTCATAATCTATCGTATAGAGTATGGGTGGCAAAACGGGTCCTGATCGTTGGACATGTCTGTTTTATCCGTATTTTAATGTGAGGTGGGTCAAAAGTTTAAACCTGCATCCTATAATCTGTCTGCCTCATCCCACTTTATTTTTTGCAACTTTTGCAAATACAAACATTACCATAAATTTTATATTTAACTATCATTTTCATTTGCAATTTTACTTGTGTAGAACTCTTATGTGATTCATATGAACTAAGTTTCTTCATATTTCAAATCATAATTTAGATGGATTGATAGTTAAATAGTATAATGAGGCTATTTACGATCTTCCATATCTAATTTGAGATTACAAATTTGCTTTTTTATTTTCTCTACATTTTTAGTTTCGATAAATATTATACAAATTTGAAATTCTGATAACATTCAAACATATGATCACTACAAGAAATTTGACATATACCAACGGATACTTTTAGTGACGGTAAAAAAAAACATTGATATAGATAATATTTAGAGACCAAAATTAAAATCAATTGTTGGTATAGGGTCTGAAATAAAAGGCGCTTAATTTTCACCAAAAGAGAAATTAAGTGTCTTTTGGTGAAAATTGAGCACCTTTTATTTCAGACCCTATACCAATGGTTGATTTTAATTTTGGTCTCTAAATATTATTTGTACCAACGCTATTTTTACAATCACTAAAAGTATCTGTTGGTATATGAAAAATTTCTTGTAGTGTGAAATGAATTGTATTGTTGTAACAGATTATTGGACCTTGGTCAAGTAAGTTTCTATCATGAGGATATAGACTTTACAATTAAAATTATGTTTTATTTGTGATCAGATCACATATGATTTGTTCGCGTTGTCCGCCACTATTATATTCGTTTCTTTTTTTTAGGGGCTCTTTTTGTAGGATCCATGGAAGAAGTAATTGTTTGATCATAGTCACTAGAAAGATATTGTTATAGATTAATATTTAGATGATTTATTAATGTATGTGTAATGATATTGTTGGAATTATGGACTTGCGCTAGGGATTACAAAGAGTTATGGATAGTCTTTAACAATGTCGTAAAAAAGAATTGGTAGTTTTGAAGATTATCAAGGAGATCATCAGCAATTTTATGTCTTTTTATAAAGCGCCTAAGAAAATCATCAAGGAGATCATCCAAATTCAAAGTAGATTTTTTTAGTTCGACAGTGAAGAGAAGAGAGAGATCCATTGGATTAACTGGAACAACATTTATAAACCTAAAGAAGATGGGAGTTTGGGGTTAGGAACATCGAGAGGTTCAATCTCCTGTTATTTTGCTAGTGGAAATGAAGGATGTTGAATGAGGAAAAAGCCTTATGGAAGAGCATTCTTTGCTACATGTATAGAGATTTATGTATTAATATATTAGATATTTGTTTAAATATATAATTAATCCTTCTAACTATACTACTTTTGATTTTTGTTGTTTTAATCCTTCTAAATATTTTTTATTTTGGTTTTGATTCTGATTTCTTTGTGTTAATCCATGTAAAATTGGTTTGTTTTAGATTTGGTACTTGTAATGTGTAAAACAATTGATTTTAGTCCTTGTGTAAGTAATATTTGAGAAATTAAAATCAAATATTCTACATGATATGGACCAGTTATAATATAAATCAATTTTCCATGAAAAAAAAAAAAGACCAAGGCAAGATAAAAGTTATTTGCAAGGATCAAAATCAACCAAAAAAAATTGCAAAGACTAAAACCAAAAAATGTATATTTACAAAGATCAATTGCAAGTTTAAATCTTAAACATTTTAGGACAATTTAAATTATTAGATATGTGAGGTTACCTTTTCCTATCCATGTTATTTTACAAGATTGGATATCAGTTTTGTGTTGTCTTGAAAATAGATAAATTTTTTTGAAAAAGTTAAAATGATATAAATCAGTAAGAAGTTCTTCTAGCACATGACGTATTAGAGGAACAAGAAAAGAGTTATTACAACACTATTTACGAATAAAACAAAAACAACCAAAACCAAAGCCCTAACACATACACACTAATCGACTCTAGCTAAAATGCAAAGCATAAGATTTATCCTCCAAACATGGTAATCAAGAGTGAACACCACGAAATGAGCTTTCAACCACCAGAATGATTGAATTTTAACCTTTTCACAAATAGACTTCAGGGACAATGCCGTATTCTGAAAAATCCGTTGGTTCTGCGTTTTCCAGATAACCCACATAACAACTACCCAAATTATATGAAAAGCGAACCGACAATCTTTTGTCCATCCACCTAATGCGACAAATTGATCATGATGATCCCTACAATGTCCCTAAAGAACCGTCGTGATCCCTAACCAATAAGATAACATCGGCCAAATTTTGCCAAAATAATCACACCGTACAAAAATATGATCCCTAGTTTCATCCATACTACAACCATTAGGACAACTCTGCTCCTCAGCTACTAGAATATGCCTCCTAACCAAATTATCCTTGGTCGGTAATCGATTATGGTACAAGCGCCAAAGAAAAATATTTACCTTAAGCGGCACCTCTTTAGACCACCAAACCTAAGAGCCTCCAAGACATTGGTCACCCTTTGAGTTCGTCAACAAATTGTGCACACTGCTCACATTATACCACTTTGATGGGTGAATACGCCACAACCACGAATCTTCAACCGCACCTTACAAAACAACAGAATTCAACAACCAAATACACTCCCCCACCAACTCTTCCTCCCACGCAAACAACCTCCTACGCCAACTCCAAGCTTCTTCCTCCACCCTCACCCTAAAGCAAACATCTCTGCTATAATGGCCTCCTTATGCTCAGATAGCTCAAAAAGCCTGCAGAATCTAGACATCAAAACCCCTCCCTCCAACCAAGGGTCCCTCCAAAATAAATAATTAACCCCATTTTCAACAGAACGCTCAATATTATTACTCAGTCGCCCAGGAACACTCAACCCAACCCTTAGACGAATCTTTTTCACGTTCTTCCACCACATTGACCCCCCATCTGACCTAGAATTCAACTGCCCCTACCTCCTCATACTGCTGAGCTAACACCCTATACCAAAGACTAACCCTCTCCTTCATCATACTCAACACCATTTCCCCAACAAATCCTCATTAAGCTTCATCAACCTTCTCACACCCAACCCACCCTTCTCCTTACTCAGACACACAATATCCCAATCAAACCAAGATACCTTTCTCCTCACCTCCGTACCTCCCCAAAAGAAAGCAATAAATAAAGATTCTAGAGAAGTGATTATACCTATGGGAGCCTTGAAAATGGATAGGAAATAAACCGGGATAGTGGACAAAACATATTTCAACGGAATCAAGTGACCACCCACCAAAATATTACGATACTTCCACCATGATAACCTTTTCCTAATGATTTCAAAAATGGGTTGCCAAAAACCAAGCTTACGTGGATTACCATCAATAGGCAACCCCATATACACAAAAGGAATAACTCTCAATTTACAGTTTAACACCATGTATGCCTCCTTCAACCAAGAATTAGTAATATTGACTCCCACCAACATACTCTTATTAAAGTTCACCTTTAAACCCGAAATGGATTCAAACAACATCAATACTGCTTTAAGAACCCTAACATTATTCCAACTCTTAGCCCCCATCAGGAGCGTGTCATCTGTAATCTGTAGATGAGTAATCGGTTCCCCTACACCATTTCCCACACTATAACCTATAAACAAACCTTCTTGGACAATAACATTCATCAAAAAATTAAATCCCTCTTCCATAATTAGGAAAAGAAAAGGTGATAACTAATCTCTCTGCGTAAACCTCTCTCTAAACTAAATTCATCAGTTGGACTTCCATTAACTAAAATTGAAACTGTAGTCGTTGAAACACATTCATTGATCCGTTTCACCCACAAAGCAGGAAAATAAAGCATGAATTTGATCCAAACTTAGTTTTGAATTTATAGATATTTTGTATTCCCATAATTTATCAAGAGTTTTAGAATGTGTTTGGATGAGGTAATTAAAATTTTTTAAGAAATTCAAAATTCTAAGTAATTTAAATGTGTTATGAAATTAATAAGAATAAATATAATAGAATAGTAGAGACGAAGTAAAGAAAGAGAAGAGATAAAATAGAATTGTATTATTCTCATTATCAGTGTCCATTTCAAGTACAGTATGAGTCTTATTTATAGGACATATGTAATAAATAGAGAATCAATTGAAATATCCTAATTGATGGACATCCATAATCATTCCATTTATAACTATTGTACCCCAAAATTTTCCCTCTCATTTCTCAAGATATTTCTCACAAAGATCTGCGAAAGCTCAAGCTTGCACCAGTATTGACTAGGTCAAGCCATCTCCTCAACACTGATACTTCAAGATTAGGGTTTGAATTTGCATAAGGACAATTAGACTTCTAATACTTCAACTGGTGTTCTTGGATTATTATGGACCTTCAAGAATGCTCATGTCAAGTTTCAAGTCTTCTCAGTCAATTGAGCAAGAGACCAAAAATCAGTTGTACTGATGAAAAAGTCAACTGTAGCACCAAAAGTCAAACTTTGACTTTTTGATCAACATTAAGTCGTAAAGATAAAAAATTCATCAAGACATTCAAACATATGAAACTTGATCATCAAGAAATCAA